GAAGAGCGCTCTGTTTCGAAATAGCCTGGAAATAAGCTACGTGATTTTCTTACAAGTTACGGGGGCCGTGTAGACGCACCCTAGGTGAACTCCAGAGCTTATCAGCTGGCATGGATAGAATCCTGGGTTTACCCTGAATAGCCACATTCTTTTCTAAGGGCTGGATGTCCAGCCTTGTTGGGGTTGGAATAGTAATACACCCTGTTCTCTCCTGCACCCTGTGAACATGGAGGGCACCATTCCATGGGGCACGAGGGGGCAGAATTTGGGAAACGCTGCAGGAAGTGCACTGCATGGTACAGACTGCAGGCAGACAGCCATTCCATGGATGCTGTGACCTTCCATCCAATGTTGGGGGGGGGGAGCTACTTCAACAGCAAGGCTAAAGAAGCCCTCCCATATCAGCACTTCACGCACTCTGTGGCCTGCAGAAGGAGAATATCTTCCATTGCCTTGAATTGGCACTAAATTGGCCACGGACACAGAGATTTTCTCCACAGGACCCAGCTCTGTTGGATTTACTCTTTCAAACCCACCACTGGCAAGAGACGCATCCATGGAAGTTTGGTTTGAGCAAACAGCATAAGACTGGGATTTTATACTTTGGATTTTAATCCCCACATTCTGGAGATGAATGTATTCTGCTTGGAGCAGGCTTGCACATGCAAAGTTTTGTGCATATTAATATTATAGAGAGAGGTGGAAGTAAGGTCCTATGTATACCTACACTGGACCACACATCCTCTCGGCTAAATAATTTTAATGTGCATACAAACCCATGCGTGTACATATGCGTGCGTGCATGATACGCAGAATACATTGATCTCCATATAAATAGCTATTCTTCATTATTTATAATGTTTTAAAATCCTTTACTTTTTAGCTTGTATTTGTTTTTAATCAGTCAAAGAAGGGCCTTGATTTTAATATGTAAGTAAACTCTGTGGCTCTCCACTCTATCATTCAGTCCTCCTCTTCCTTACCTGCATGGATATTGACTTGGATGGGATTGCATTGCCTGTTGGGAAAACAAAATTTTAGCCTGCAAATTAAGTGTGTGTCTATAGATACATAAGCAGGGGTAGAGACCTGGCTAAAAAGCCAGAGAATTAGGATACAGGAAGAGCTCGCTCTCTCTTTCTCACTGACCTATGCTAATCAGCACTTTGCAATCTATGGGTGAAAAGTATTTTATAAGAGCCAAATTTAGCTCTTATTCATAGCATACATGTACAGCTGGGTACATATTACACACACATACTTCTGTAGAAATAGTATAGAAATATGTATTGCGTCCTACGTAGCAATAGTTCATTTAAGAAATGGAACCATGCATTCCTCACCAAACCATGCATTCCTCACTTGTTATTTTAATGGCCCTGTTATTGGATTCTAACCAGGAAGGCATTTTAGATGGTTTATCAACATTCTTGTTTCAATTTTCTTTTTAAAATGGAGTCACTTTCAAAGGAGTAGAAAAATAAAGACCATATTAGCCAGGCTTGGCACTTGTATAGGAATGATTCTGATGGCGGCATACATCAGGAATATGAAAACAAAGGCTTTACATTAACTACTTGTTTTGAAAAGAATGGGCTTTCTAGTGAGGGTAAATCTTACAATAATAGAGACAGGGGATCTGGCAATTTTTTGTCCTTTCTGGTGGGTGGAACAATGTGATGTGTTTGTGGCATTAAAATCTCTGGGCTCTCTAATCTAAAGCTTCACCCGGCAGTGGTGACCAACGAAAATGCATTTTGGAGAAAATACATGTGTGAACTAACGAATCGCTCTCTTAATCGTGGCTCGTCAGGGATGCGTCCTCACACTTCAATTAAAAGGATTCTCCTCCCTGTGCAGCGTTAGCAAAAAAGGCTTTTTCCACCCCCCAGCGAAGGTGATGAGATCATATGAAATTCAAGAGGGACCATTCACCCAGCGTTATAGAAAGCACTCTGAATTTTAACCGGCAGCTTATAGTGGCTTGTAATACGGCGCCCACAGCATAGATAAACTTCTGGCTAAGCAGTTATTATTTTTCCCCTGGGGACTAGCGAGTTCCCCATCTCTAAGGGGAGGTTAAAGCCACTTGCTGCTGTCACCAGACTCAATACACTAATACAAATGACCGCACCTGCCCATACCATCCTCTCTTCCAGCTCTCACTGAAAAGCTTGTAAAAGTCTCCCAGTCAGCAGGGAGGGAGTAAATCATTCCTGACAGTTACATCTCTACAGAGCAGTTAGAATGAATGTAACAATTTGGTGCTTAATGAAGCAGCAACATGCTGGGCTGCAGAGAATGGCTGAGACCTGCTGCAGTCATGTTCGAATCCCCATGGGCCCCAAA